GGGGGGGGGTGGGCCACGCCCGCCGCCGCCCCCCGCCGGGGCTCCGCGCCCGCGGCGCCCGCCCCGCCTCGGCCTTCTTTACGCCGAGGCTGCGCGGGATCGGGGGTCCAGGGGGGGATCTGCCACCGGCGACGCAGTTCATCCGGGGACTTTCCTCCCAGCGAAACCAATGGCACATTCCAACACCGATGCAGAACCCCGGGAGGTTCCCCCCCCTTCCTCTGATCTGGCTGTATTCTGGCACATTTGTTATTTTAAACAACTTTACTGGACAGGGCGGACCCACTATAAATGGGGTGCGATATTGCAGCCCCTATTGCAGGGGCTGCATGGGTGCGGACCACTCCGATGCCGGTGAGGTGAAGGAGAGGTTGAAAGGTCAACATACGAACGTGCCCTTGGAAGCAGGAATAAACTTGAGGAACTGTTTGGCAAGGGCGAGTTGGGCTTGCGGTTGGTTGCACATTTCATTGAACAACAACGGCAAATTTCCCTGCCAGGGGACAATTCATCGCCTGATTAAGCTGGGTGTAGCTCACATGTGGCCTGAGTAGGACAAAGGGTATTTTCTGGGCAGGGCAGCCTCGCCCAGATCGTTCTCCGGAAAATGAATTGTTTGGGAATTATCTGGATGGTTCAGGCAAAACAATCCCTTCTCCCCAAATCATTCAGCTACTTTTTATACAGGAAAAGCTTAAAGCAAACTAAAAGTTGGCTGACAAATATTCAGGAAGGTGAGACATCGCAACATCAACTTAGGTTACTCCGAAAATATTTTTCTTTGCTTCGCGCGCATTTTTCTTTTGCATCCGGTTGAAGAATTTGAAGCAATTCAAGGATGGGATTTTTGTTTTGCTTTCTAATTTTACGCACATAGAAAATTGTTTACGTGTCCTTCACTGTTAAGGACTAGACCTAATGATTTCCTGAATGTTAATGTCTTGAGAAATGTGTTAAGTAAGCGGCACAGTCTTTACTGAGGTTGCCCAGCAATGTTGAGTCATCAAAACTTGACCAATATTGGAGCTCCTGCCAGAGTGGTGCTGTGCATGTTCACTGTGGTGGAGGGATATCCTCCATTCCAGGTTCCCAGGCTGTGTTCTCATTAGGTTCATTGTTTTCCTCTGCCCTTTTCAAGTCCTCCTTTTGGATTCCATACCCAAACTCCAAAAATGAAAGTCCTGAATCATGAGAAAAATTGTAATCTTTTCTGTTGTCTTGTAGCAAAGAAACCACATGTTGCCTGTTTTATGTTTGAGTCAGGAAGTAGGTTACTGTTTTCAAATACCACAGTGATCATCAAGGTATAGTAGACATTTTATGAGTTCCTTGGCTGATGTTTTGAAGGCCTTTTCTTCAGAAAGAAGTAATCAAAGCGAAGGACGAGGTGGTCAAGGCTGAACACAAAGTTGAGCATAAGCTCACCACTCGAGTTTGAAAGAAGTATATAGAAATATATGTAAAATACTTTTAAGTAATGCAGAATTGGCTTTGTGGCTAAATGACTGTGCTGTCATTCCAGTTGTCTTTAGACATCTCCCTACTGTTCTACTGCCAAATAATCAAATTTTAATGGAGGGCTACAAATAAAATTCTTATAACTATCACTAACAAATTGGTTAGCCACTGCTGCTTTCATTTATGAAAAAAATTGTGGCAACTAATCATAACAAATATCATATATATGTTACTCAATACATGCCAGATCCTCATTTAAGTGATTTACGTATTTTCTTAATCCTTGCAAAACTCCATGATGCTGTTACCATCTTCATTGTATAGTTGGGGAACAGAGGAGCCGATGGGACCCACCCAAGTGGAAGGAACACAGCAGAGTTGAGCTCTATGACCAAGCCAGCGGAGTCCAGAGTCTGTGTTCTAGACCAAGGGCAACACATTTTGTAAAGGGTCAGATAGTAAATATAAGGCCTGTGGGCTTGCAGCAACTACTCAGTTCTGCTGTGTAGCCCACAGGTATCCATAGGCAATGAATGTGACTGGGTTCCAATTTAACTTTATTTGAAATTTGAATTTCATATAATTTTCATATGACATAAAGCATTATTCTTCATTGTATTTTTCCAACCATTTAAGAATGTAAATATTATTCTTAGCTCCCAGGTGGACAAAAATAGGAGGTGGGCCAGATGTGGCCCTTGAGTAGTAGTTTACCAACCACTGCTGGAAACCACTCCAGGATGCAGGCTTATGACTGGGAAGTTAGAAAACAATTTGCTGCCTTTAAGGTAAAGCCTATGGGTTATTTATCCTAATAATTTACTAAGTCCTAGAAAAAGACTGGGAATTACGCAGCCATGCCACAATTGAGGGCTGTGATAGCTGCACGGGTTGGGAAGAGAGCTGTATGAAGTTTATAGATAAGATGTTGTTTGGGAAAAGTCATCGGAATCATGGAAATATTTGTGATCAGCTACCCCACTCATGGTGTTTCACAGATAACAACACCAAGATTGGGAGAAAGCTAATAACTGGCCTGAGCCCTTGAAGAGCAGACCTAGCCAGATATAAATATTTCACCCTTCCCAACTAAAGCTGCAACATTATCTAAAGATGCTGCTCAGGGAAAATCCATTCTTTTGTGCTACAAGCCATCTCTATTTATGTTTTCAAGACAAAAGGCAGTGTGGATACACTTTCTTGTCCCTGGAGGAGAGTTAATGTAAAGAGTTAATGTACAATATCCTGGCAGAACTTCCTCTCTCAGATAGTGGTGAAGAAAATAGTGTAACCAAGTAACTGCAGTTATTTTGCCATGTCCTGCAGTTGAATTAATCACAGGTCATTATCAGGGAAGAAAAGAGCAATAACATGGGCCTGATTAAGGTTTAAACTTTCCTTTAGTTCTGATCTGGGTATGGCACTCATAATTTAAAGACCACTGCCTTAGGGAAGAACTCAGATTTCCAGTACAAAGGGGGACTCCACAAAAACCAGAATTTATAAAAAATTGTGTATTCTTACATGTTTAACTTCAGTCCCCTTCAAAGTACTCTTCATTTGATGCAACACACCTATTGAGATGCTTTTTCCATTGCTCAAAATAGGTTTTGAACTCATCCATTTTGATGCCTTTTAGTGCTTCTGCATTTTTTTGTTGCTGTTTGTTTCACCAATTCCACATCTGCGAAATGTTTCCTTTGAGGAAACAAAAAAGTCACTAGGGGTGAGACTGGATCAATAGGGAGGGTGGGGCATGAGGGTCATGCCATTTTTGGTCAAAACTGATGACCACTCAGTGCGGTGTGGGCAAGTGTGCTCGTAAATAATCCATCATGAAATGGGCAAAAACAGTGAAAGAATCTCTAAAACAAAATTCACTGAAACGAAACTCAGCCTTTCACAACAATGCTGGCTAGTACACTGATGCTGATGGGTTCCTAGAACTCTTACCTAGTGGGGGAAGCATGTACTATAAGGGGTCCACCCCCCAAAAGATAATTCTAGGTTCTTTTGAGTTCCCCTCATATGCATGGGGATGAGTGTTTGATAATAACATAGGTAACTAGTAAATGCCATCTCCATTTTCTTAAGTTTTTGGAGAGTGTGAAGACTAGGAACTTCATTTAGGGATAAAAAGTACTATTTTCCTCGAACTGTCTGAGTAAGAGCTCAGTTAATAATGCTATTATGTAATTATTTTCTAGGGATAGTAAAACTTCCATTATTGATGTTTTAGCATTTGTATGTAAAGTGTTTAATTGGGTCCTGGCACATTGTAGTTGATAATGAATGATCATCTACAGCTGTTCAGTAGAACTTACTGCCATGATGGAAACATTCACTATCTATACCAACCAATAACTCGTCACATGTGGCTATTAAGCACCTGAAATGAGGAACTAAAATTTTAATTTTATTAAATTTGAATTTAAATAACCATGTGGCTAGTGCTACCCCCTTTCAACTGTGTTGTCTGCCTCCTCCTAGGATCTCAGAGAAAGAAAACTCACTCACTTGCCCAGAGTAGGCATTTTAAGCAAAATAACTCAGTTGTTAAAATACAGTAAGGGCAATTGGTCTTGTCTTAATGGCAAATGCACTTATGCTTCTATTCCTAGGTCAGTAGACTGACCTGTTTTTTTTTTCCTTAACTAGAGTAAATGATAAAGGTTTACCAGGAAGCAGTTTATAGAGAATATAGACATATATATGTGTGCATGTATTTAGGGGTGTGTGTGTGTGTGTGAATATATGTGTGTGTATACATATTCACATATACATGTAGATGTAATGACTTGAATTCGTATATCTAGAGCTGTCACTAGAACTGTCTAAAATGACCTTCAAGGAATAAGATCCCCATCACTGGAGTGATCAAGAAGAGACTGTCATGTCGCTAAAGGGCAGGTTGTACTTGGGGTTGAACCTTGGATGCGATAATGCTCTGTAGACTACAAAGGATTTTTTAATCATCTCCTTTTGACTTTACCCAGCCACATCATTTAGATTATTCTTACTTTGCAGGATGAAAACACTGAGGCTCTGTGCCTTGCTCTAGGTCATCAGACTAATATTACTAGCAGCAACTCTTGAATTAAATACTCACCTTCTCATTTCAAATCTTTTCTTAACCTCACACTCTTTCTTAGGACTCTTCCCTTCTATGATGCTACAATTCTACTAGATCAGGAATGTAGGGGTATTAGAATGTTTTAGAAATCAGAATTCAATTTAAGACAGTTGTCTAAAATGATGTACATCTATGTAGCACTTTTACAATCAATTATAAGGGTTTGTTTTAACACAGAGAACTTCTTTTTGATGAACAAGATGTAAATATACATGACTAAAGGAAGTTCAAGAAACGAATGCAGGAACTGGCTTGACGTTAGCCTTTTCCTAGGTTAGATTGATTCCTTAGTCTCCACAACTTTTACCTGTGACCATCTCCATGTCTGGAACCAAGTAGCAAGAAAAATATTGAATACTAGACATATGGCCCTTCCACACCCCCATCTCAGTCCCTTCATTCCACCAGTCCTGATTTCCCCAAGTCTACACAGAACCACAGAAGAAATGAGAAGCCAGACAGGAAGAAAAAGGACATATACTGTCTCCATATCTTCAGTAAACATGGAGGAGGAAGGAAAACAATAAGAATTCCAATGACAGCTCTAGAGAAGAAAGAATGACTGTTCTTGACTTCTAGGTATCTACTCCTACATGCAGAAGATATTTCCAGAAAGCCAAAATTGCATGAAGTGTGTATATATGTCAGTTAAGTGCAAATTAGGAATTTCTAAATCAGAAGTGAGATATTGCTTACTTTATATCATTGATTTCAGGAATTTACTTACCTGTTTTCATAGCACTGGAAAGTCAGTGGCAAAGCTGAGAAAGGAACCTGGGTTAATTGATTCCCATTTCTGTATTTTGTCTGAGAAACTACAAATTGTGATATGGCTATTTTGGTAAGTAAAGGATTAGTTATGTTATATTTTTAATGCTGTATTCAAAACTAGTTTATTATATACTAAAAGGCAATGATTTGTCAGATATCTAAACTCAATATAGGAGGATCAATCTATCTCAGTCCAAAACATATGATCAGAGGAAATATAGCTATTTACCTTTAATTACATTACATGCTGTGTTAAATTTGCTAGAATTACTGTTTTATGAAGTAATCTATACTGTTTCCATTTTACTAAAATACAGGGATGGGTAGATAACTTTAAACTAGATCTTATTTAATTAGATCAAAAGAGAAAAAGGGGAAGATTTTTGCCTTGGTAACTGAGATAAATTGGGGAAGGGGTGGGCAACTGAATTACCTAGGAAGATGAAGCTACACACAGAGCTTAGTATCCTAGTAGTCTACACTAAGATTCTCAATGGGGAAATCAAAAGTCACTTCTGTATAACCTTTAAAAAATGTCAAGGTTGAGAACATGTTTTTCCGTGTTTAAGTAATTTTCTTAACTATATTAATTTCTAGATTTCATTCTTAAATTTTAGACTCTTTCACCCATCCCCCCCCAAAGAAAGCATTCAGGTAATATTTTATAAAAATATCTATAAGTATACTCAGCCTGAAAAACAATGGATTAGTAGAACTGCACAGATTAAGAATGTTCTTATTTCTGATAGAACAGTGGAGATGTATAGAACAGCCAGATATTACACACATATTTTTTACTTGCCTGCATCTTGAAATGAGGTCTTACAGGAAGAAGCTGGTGAGTCTTAGAGGAATACGTCCCTGCAATGTGGCCAAATAGAAGAATCAAGAAGTATAAGCTGTAATAGCAGACAAATCACATTTCCCTCTTGACCCTTGGAAATCAGTAACCAACTATCAACATATTTAGCAGTGTAGTTGGATTTCCCATCGTCCTCAGAGAGACCTTCAATGGAATGTGCTTATTTCATCATTAGAAAGAATGGCCTTAGCTAAGGCAACCAGTAGCCAACACAAACAGTATTTAACACATACATACATGGGCCAATATTTGGTATTCATTTGGAATTATTGCTCTTCTGAAATGTGCAGAGCTGTGTGTTATACAATGGAAGCTGTGTGGTATGTGAGATCTGGCTCATACTGGCCAGTGAGAATCAACTTTCAGGAATTTTTCCAGCTTGTTGTTTAGCACTGTCAATATTACAAGTTGAAATGTTTTAACTTACTGAAAATCCAGGAACTAAATACCCCCAATACATCACTTTTTAGTGGTTTTACTATGTGGATACTGTGTAATGGTATGCTGGTGGACATTAACTTCCAACTCTAGACTCAGTCACATCATGTTAGTAGCTTGAACTTGCCATAAGTTAGTAGCTCATTCTACCATGGAAGGAACATTTCCACCATGGAAATCAGTTTGCACTACAAATAAAAGATTTTTTTATTTGTTATTGTGTACTCTAGACTTGGAGTCACATGTTGGAGAAAACGTTAAAGTTAAAAGTGTGTTGTGTCATTGTGAATTGCACAATTGAGGAAATATTCTTCATGTTATAAATTATTTTGATTTATTAGAACCATCTACTGGCTTTATGAACTAATTACATCAAAACTACCTGTGAAACAATAGTATAATCTAAATTTAATTTTAAAATTCAAAGTTGATTTGAATGAGTTCCAGGATTTTATAGATAATAATGTAAATCAAACATATTCCAAGACCTGCATTAAGCTAAAAAAGAAACACTATTGCAGTCAGGAGTCCTGAAGATGAAACATGTTTAAGTTTAATGAAAGTACTTTTTGAAGATGAGAAACAGTTTAACAGTAAGTCACATATCAGATTAAATTTCCCAATAAATTTATTGAGAAAGTGTTAGTGGATTGGGATGCAACTCCATTTATCAAATCATGCTTAAGTTCCAATCATAGGTTGGCTGTGTAAACAAAAGTTTAACAACAAAAGCATTCTGTGAGAACCAATTGGCAATATGAAACTTAAAATAAAAAGTACTTGAATGAAAATAAAAGGATGCAAAAAGATATTATATGCCAATAGAAACCCAAAGTGGGTAGGAGTAGCTATACTTATATAAGATAAAATAGATTTTAAGTCTAAAACCATAAAAAGAGACCAAAAATGCCATTATATAATGATAAAGATATCAATTCAGTAAGAGGATGTAACAACATCCCCTTAGATATTTGTGCACGCAACACTGGAGTGCCCAGATGAAGCCATATTATGGACTCTAATAGAACAATAGTTGGGGACTTCAACACTCAGCATTAGACAGATTATCTATATGGAAAATTAACAAAGAAACATTGAATTTAAACTGTACTTTAGACTGAATGGTTCTAATAGACATGTCATCCAACAGCTATAAAATATGTATTCTTCTCATCATCACTTGGGTCATTTTCAAGAATAGATCATATGTTAGGATACAAAACAATTCTCAACACTTTTTAATTTTTTCATCAGGGTCTAGCTCTGTTGCCCAGGCTAGAGTGCAGTGGTATGGATGATGGCTCACCACAGCCTCAATCTTCTGGGCTCAGGTGATCTTTCCACCTCAGTCTTCCAAGTAGCTGGGACTAAAGATGTGCCCCACCATGCCCTGGCTCATTTTTAAAAATTTTTTATAAAGACAACTTCTTACTATGTTCCCTAGGCTTATCTTGAACTCCTGGCTCAAGCAATCCTCCTGCCTCAGCCTCCCAAAGTGTTGGGATTACAGGCATGAGCCACTGCACCTGGCTCTCAACAGATTTTTAAAAAAAAAAATCATAGCAAGCATTTTCTCAGACTACAGTGGAATAAACCTAGAAATCAATAACAAGAGGAACTTGGGAAACTGTACAAATACATGAAAATTAAACAGCATGTTCCTGAATGATCATTGAGTCATGAAGAAATTAAGGAGGAAATAAAAAAGTTTGTTGAAACAAATGAAAACTGAAACACAACATACCAAAACCAATGAACACAGTACAAGTAGTTTTGTTGTTGTTGTGTTTTTTAAGTGAGAAAACAGGATTTATTGAGAGGACAGAGAAGCTCCCACAGTAGGAGGGGACCCAAAGGAGTTCCCCTTTTTAGGCTGAAAACCTGGTGTTTATGTAGCTCTAAGACCGAGCCAATTGGCTAGCACTAGCTGTGAGCTGTTGCTGTTCTGATTGGTTAGTATTAAGGACCAATTGGCAGCAGGTAGGGGCCTAATGGTGAGCTGATTGGTTGCTTTTCGATTCCAGCAGTGAGTACTTAAGCTCTAGTTTGAGAGGCTCACAGGGAGCTTGTTTACCAAAGCTGAGCCTGAAATGTCTGCCAGGAGTTTACTACATTGTTACCAGAGCACTCACCTGTCTATCTCCCTAGCCTTTCTCTAGCTATCTCTGTCTCTGGAGTAGGAGGCCTAACTGTTGTTAGTGGGTAGGAATCAATGACTGGTCTGGCTACTTCCTGCCGATCATGTGTGTCATATGGGGATGGCAGTTAGGAATCCTCCAGAGGGCGATCTAAAGGTTCTCAGTTGAAAGAAGCTTCCATACAGGGTTCCATCTGCATCTCCATTTGGAGTTTGATGACCTCTAGGTGAGAAAAAACAAACTTTGCAATAATGTTAACTATATACATGGGCCAAACACAACCAATACAACCAAAGGAGGTATTGAGGGAAAAAAACCCGTGTCCATATACTATAAATCCCTAGAGAGGTTGAAAAGATTGTAACCAACTAGGTCCTGAAACTGCCTGTTTTTGTAGAGTCAATGATTTTATTATTGTTTTATAACCTGTAAAGTCTCTTTTACTTGGGAGGAAGTGTTAATATGGAAACAAGTTTCATTTCATAATGTGCATATTCCTCCACATTCCACTGTGAGCATATCCAACACTTGAATAATTACCCTGTTGAGCCACCTACTTAATGGAGGGTGAGAGAGGGTGCTTATAAGAAGCTAGGACTAATGATACTAAAAACAGGAAGCAAGATATAGTAGGCATTTTGCTTGTTCCTGTGTGGGAGACTTCTAGGGAAGAAAACTATCCCATGGTGAAAGGTACTTATAGAAACCTAGAAGAAACTTAGCTTATTCTTTAGTCTTTTTGCCTCAGTGTAACCATTAGAAAGCGTTCAGATATTCTACTGCAGAACAAGTAGCCTATCCCATCCCCCTTGGCAAATCTCCTTCAGATGCAAGATCAGGACAGCCCAACCATTCATGGTTTAGTATAATAATCTCTAGTAAACTTTTGATTCCTTGTTAAGACCAAAGTTATAATAATACAACCACCCCACCTTTGGTCAAGGAATTTGTAAGTTGCAAATGTCTGAATTTGTGAATTGCAAATGTCTAACAAGTCTCTTGCAGGAATCCTTCCCCCCACCCCAGGGTTAACCTGATCAGCCCTCTGTGAACTACTTGACACAGATAAGCCCCACCATGGCAACAATCATGTGACCAACCCACCCATCTGCCTGCTGTCCATCACCTGACATCATAGTACCTGAGCTTGACTGCCACTTTGTGATGACGTGGAAGCAGACCACCACCCAATCGCCTAATGATCTTCCCCCATCAAGGGGAATGGTTAAAAGGACTCAATCACAAGCAACCAGCGGCCATTGCCTTGCAAGACTCTGGTGTGGCCATGTGCTCTTTGAGCCATGGCAGTCGCCATGTTTCCTGGCTTTGGTCCAGGAAGGTGAATCTTCTTTCTTCCTTCTCTTTCTCTCTTTAACTTACTTTTAAATAAACTTTTCTTTCTTAACCTTTTCGTGTGTCACAATTCTTTACATTTGCTCAGATCTCTGGGTTCCCAATGCGCACCTCCGGCTTGCCAGCCCTGGCAGTGTTGCACACCTCTCTCCATCTTTCTACTCATCCTGTCTGTCCAAACCCTAACATTTTTGGAGGTTCCACTGAGATTTCTCTTTCTCTCTCTTATTTCCTAACTGGTGACCCTCTGTGGACTGTGTTGGAACCTGGTGGCAGCTGAAAGCTCTGACTGAGGTTACACTTCAGGGTGCTGAAAGGCCCCAGGGAAAGACACCAGACCACAGTGGCCCCACCTATGAAGGACTAAGGTTAACTCTTTACTTCCTTCTAGTCAGCATTTCTGAGTTTTCCCATGGACCAGGCTGGCTCTTGGAGGACAACTGACGGTCTCTGCCTAGTGCTACTCCCTAGGGAGGCAGGAAGGTCCCCGAAGGAAAGTTTGGAATGCCAGTGCCCGTATGGGTGGGGGACAAAGTGCTTGGTTTCATTACTCTTTTCCTCTCTGGCTGGTGAAGTAACTCCACAAAGGACCTTGAAACTCCAACAGCTGCATGGTACGCCTTTCTGCGCCTCTGTTGAGTCATCCCTCATTTATCATATGTGCACTCTTGGACTACGCTTTGTTTGGATGACTTTCTGGATCTCTCCGGTTTCCGGTTTCCGTCTTGGGAGACTCCTAGCAAGGGTTGGGGAACTAGTTGCTCAAAGTCCTGGTACCAGGCCTTCCAAGACATGGTGGAACATGCATCCGGCAAGCTCCAGTGGGCACAAGGATGGGAGGACACTCTCTTCCTGCTGACTCACATCCTTTGCGCTGATTCCTTTGAACATGTTGGGAATGCCTGGCAGGGGATCTGGATGGAATAAGGCCCAGAAACAAATCCCGAGAAACCAAAAGCCCATCCCAACTGTCCTTTTACTACAATACTGCTTTGCAGCCCCAGCACTGGCTCCGGCCCACTTTACCCCAGCTGATCTTTTCACTGGTGGACAAGTACAGGGAAATTCCACAATATAAGCTGAGGATTGGTG